TCACAACGCACTGGATAGCTGGCCAATCAGAGCACACCTCGCTTTTCAGACCGATGAGCTTTGTAAAAATCGACGCGTTTCAGAAAAGCAGGGCATAGTGGAGAAACAATAATGTACAGTATGTGGAAAATAATGTTTTTTTTTTTTTACCTTAAACCGCATAAACACATTTCATTAGCAATATCAAAAATTTGTAATTACAGCAAATCATTTTTAATCAATTGTAACTTTTTGTTCTAAATGTGACTTCACAAAGTTTTTTTACTTTTATCTCTTTTTACTTTTGAATCAACAAATTCAAACATTACGACTAATGTCGTAATTTAGACTTTTTATGTCATAATTTTGACTTTAATCTCATTATTATAATTTACCAAGCATGATATTCTTTTCTTATGTTGCAGAAATGGGCTTTGATACATCAGTGCGAGATGATTGTTTAATGCCTGATGAAAAAAGAAGAAGAATATAGCATAATTTAGTCGCTCTTATGTCTTTCCAAACCTGTACAGATCATTCTTTTCCGTAATCACACTTAATGGTCACAAGAGCTCTCAAGCCTTTAAAAATAAATCAAAGGTGCCATAAAACTTACATTTCAGTCCTCACACAAAACTATTATATTTATTCAGAAGACCTGGAATATAGTCATATTGACCACTTTTATGATACTTTTATAGTGCTTTTGTAATTTTACATGTTAACTCTCATTATTTAGAAAATAGTGGCTTTCCTTCAAAAATTCTCTTTTTGTGTTCCAAGGCTTAACTTGAATATGTATGTGGAGTCAGCTGTTTTGGCAGTTCATTCTACCAAAAGAAAACAAACATTGAGCTTCTGTACAAGGTCAAGCAGAAAGCCTTCATGTAGGGAGCGGGTGGAGTGCTGTTCACAGTAGCCTGACTGGGGTGTACAGTTTGAAGGACTGAAGATAGCGGAGGACTAAAGCCAAGAGCTTAAATTGAATTAAAGATTTGCTAGCACTGACGTCATGTAATGCCAAGTAGCAGCTATTTAGCGGAGGCATATGGTAGCTGCTGGTTGCTCTGATTAATATTCCTTTGTGGGCATGAT